GGGTGGAGGCCAGGGCTCGGGGTTTCCCGTTCTACCGCCGAGGACGTTTCGCAGGCCATCTTCCTGGGAAATCACAAAAGGACACGGGAGTGGGCGACAGGTGCACCTTTCTGATGTGGGGGAATTTAACAATTCTTACTCCGTCTCCTCCCGGGGCCCTTTCCACCCACTGCTTCCGCTTGCAGAGGAATGGCCATCCTCCTGAGTGTTCTGTGTAAACCACCCCCCTCCCTTTTCTACCGCTTTTGGTTTTGTTTGGTTTTGTGGAAGACCCGTGTGTGTATCCTTGAATATCCTTGCTTCCTGGTGCGTTGCCTGGGTATTACAATAAACTGTATCGCGTTGTGCGTAGTATTCCGCCACATTCTTTCTCACCCAACATTGTGTCCTAACAGTGACTATACTATTCTGTGGAGCCACAGTGCTTTCATTTTGCCTGTGGTAGCACACACCGTTGCGGAACCACTCCTCGGTTCGTTCATCCATTTTCCTGTCCATGGACACGTGGATACTTCCCACTTTAGACCCCTAAAAAGCAGTGATACTAGAAATATTCCAATGCCTGGCATCCGTGCAATATGCTTTGCAGCGTCGGAAGGAGCCAAAGAGGTTAAAGCAGTTAGTGACCTATTCCTAGGTCATAGGCTAGCTGAGTATTCAGTAGAGCAAAATTATTTCCAACGTATGTGACTCCACCAGCAGGTTGGGTTCTGATTGTTCCATATACGCACCAATACTGGGTATAATCAGATTACAATTGGCTGGGGAAGGGTGGTGGTGGGGGGAGGATGGGGATGGTGTCCGTGCTGGTGGCGTTTGCGGTGGCGGTGGCGGTGGTGGTGGTGGTGGCAATCCTCTTCAGCATTTCTCCCACACTAAGAAGAATGAGCTCTTTTTTATGCTCATTGGCCAATGCAATTTCCTTTCCCACCACATTTATCTATGTGGGTGTTATGACCTTTCTTCCACTGGGTAGGATGACTTGCTTACAGTTTTGTAGAGCTAGATATCAGTCTTTATAGCAGCGTTTCCCTCTGCCTTTTTATCGCAATAAAATAGAAACAATGCAAATTGTACCTGTTCAGCCATTTGTAGGTGTACAGCTCAGTGGCATTAAGTACATTCCCATTGTACAACCATCACTGCCATCCATCTCTCAACCTTTTTCATCTTTGTGGACTGAAACTCTGAACCCATGAAACACCTATTGCCCGTTCCCTCCTCCTCCCACCCCCTGGCAACCACCACTTTACTCCCTTTCTCTATGAATTTGGGTACCTCATACGTACACCATTTGTCCTTCTGTGATGAGCATATTTCACTGAGCATAATGTCTTAATTCCCCCACATCGGGAAGGTGGAGGCTTGTGCACCTGTCGCCCACTCTGGTGTCCTTTTGTGATTTCCCAGGAAGATGGCCTGCGAAACTTCCTCGGCGGTAGAACGGGAAACCCCGAGCCCTGGCCTCCACCCTTGGCGCCGACGCCAAGGTCCTGGGCAGTCCCTTCAGGGGGCGTGTCTCGGCGAAGGTCCCGCCCCCGTCACGTGCACCTAGCCAACCAATCAGCGACGCTCCTGCCCAGGCCCGGCTGGCTAGCTCGTCGCCATCGCGAGGCCCTCAGAGGAGCTTCACAGAGGACTCCGTGTGGAGGTCGCTGTGCCTGTGGAGGGGTGGAGGGAGGGACAGAAAGACAGAGGATGAGGGTGGGGCATAGGGAAGACCCTCAGGGAGGCCAGGCGGGTGGGGAGGCGGGCCCGGTAGTCCTGTCTTGCCATGGGAGGTGGCGGGGGGGGGGGGGGGGGGGGGGGGTTGCCTTCTCAGCCATGAGGGGACCAGGGTGTGGGGCGGCAGCGGCTTGGCTGACCTCTGTGGTGATGTCCCCATGGCGTCCATTGGAGCTGTGACAGGACAGGACAGGACAGTAGAAGACAGGACGAGGCCCCCAAGGGTCCTGCGGGGTGGCATCAGCTGGGCTGACCTCTGGGGTGATGTCTCTATGGAGACCTCTGGGATGTGACAGGCCACGACAGGACAGGACAGGTCGAGGCCACCGAGGGCAATGTGGGATGGTGGCGGCTGGACTGACCTCTGAGGTGATGTCTCCGTGGACTCCTCTGTGGCTCTGACAGGACAGGAGAGGACAGGACAGGAGAGGACAGGATAGGATGAGACCCCAAGGACAGTGGGGTGGTGGTAGCTGGGCTGACCTCTGAGGTGGTGTCCCCACGGAGTCCTCTGGGGCTCCACAGGACATGATAGGACAGGAGGGGAAGGCATGAGAACGAGGCCCCTGAGGTCAGTGTGGGGTGGCAGGGGCTGGGCTGACCTCTCAGGTGATGTCCCCACGGAGTCCTCTGGCATTCCAACAAGACAGGACAGGACAAGATGAGTATAAGGCCCCAGAGGGCACTGTGGGATGGCTGTGTCTGGGCTGACCTCTGAGTTGGTTTCCCCACGGAGTCCTCCGGTCTCCGACAGGACATGACAGGACAGGAAGAGGACGAAGCCCCTGAGGGCACGGTGGGGTGGCGGTGGCTGGGCTGACCTCTGAGGTGATGTCTCCAGGGAGTCCTCTGGTCTCTGACAGGACATGACAGGATAGGGGGAGGATGAGGCCCCCGAGGGCAGTGTGGCACGGTGGTGGTGCCTGGGCTGACCTCTGAGTTGGTGTCCCCACGGAGTCCTCGGGGCTCCAAGAGAACAGCACAGGGCAGGACGAGACCCTGAGGGCAGTGGGGTGGCGGTGGCTGGGCTGACCTCTGAAGTGATGTCCCCACGGAGTCCTCCGGGGTTCCCAGAGAACAGGACAGGATAGGACAGGTTGAGACCCCGAGGGCAGTGGGTGGTGGTGGCTGGGCTGACCTCTGAGGTGATGTCCACGGAGTCCTCCAGGGGGCCAAGAGAACAGGGCAGGGCAGGACGAGACCCCGAAGGCATGTGGCATGGTGGTGCCTGGGCTGAATTCTGAGGGGTGTCCCCTTGGAGTCCTCCGGGGCTCCAAGAGAACAGGACAGGACAGGTTGAGAACCCGAGGGCAGTGGGGTGGTGGTGGCTGGGCCGACCTCTGAGGTGATGTCCCCACGGAGTCCTTCAGGGCTCCGATAGGACAGAACAGGACAGGTCAAGGTCCCTGAGAGCAGTGTATAGAGGTGGCAGCTCTATGGACCTCTGCATGATATCCCCACAGATATCCCACCGGGACTCCCACTGGACAGGACAGGACAGGACATGGCCCGCGAGAGCAGTGAGTGGAGGCGGCAGCTGAGCTGACCTCTGCGGTGATGTTCCCATGGAGTCCTTTGGGTCTCCGATGATAGGACAGGACAGGACAAGACAAGGCCCCCGAGGGCAGTGCATGGTGGCAGCGGCTGTACTCACCTCTATGTTGATGTCCCCACGGAGTCCTACGGGAATCCGACAGGACAGTACAGGACGAGAACAGGTTAGGATAGGACGAGGACAAGGCCCCCAAGGACAGTGGGGGGTGGCGGCAGCTGAGCTGACCTCTGAAGTGATGTCCCCACGGATTCCTCCGGGGCTCCGACAGGACACGACAGGACAGGACAAGGACAGGACAGGATGAGGCTCTCGAGGGCAGGGCTGGCAGGGTCTGCAGGATGGGAAGCGAGCCCGACGTTCCCCTCTTCAGGACAGGGCCACACCTGGTGAGGAGGCAGCATCTGCGTCTGTCCCTCCTGCCCAGCCGGTCGCCTTGCAGGACTGCTTGGTTGTCCTGGGGTCCAGATGGCATGTCGAGGAGACCCCGGACCTGACTGTCCCCGGACAGGTGCAGAACGGTTTCTTCCCCATCCATTTGGAGGGGACACTTCTTTTGGTCACGGCCAAGTTTAGGCCTCCAGACCAGCACGTTGTCCCTTGGGGACCGAGAGCAGGGGACAGCCGCTGTGCCAACATAGGGGCAAGAATCTGGCAGAGGGTCCTGACACTCAGGTGTCCTGGGGCAGGTCGCAGCCAGGGAGAGGGGGTCACAGCCACGGGGGGCAGGGGTCTGCTGTCACCATTGTCTTTGTCCCCTCCTGGCCCAACGAGAGACAACGAGGGCGCTCATGCTCTGATCTGCGCAGAGGACCCTTGCCTGGCATCGCTCATTGACCGTGTCCCCATTTCTTTCACGCGTGTTTGCACTCACAAGGTGCAGGACAGCTGTCTGTACCTGGGAAGACACCTTGGGATGGCGCCACCTCGGAGGAAGCGCCTGAGGAGAGCTGCGAAGGCCCCGGTGGAGGCTCCGGGTATGGCAGCCAATGACTTTTGGGGACAAGAGAGAAGAGACCTGAGTGGGCCGGAGGCTGTTCCTGAAGGTACACTCTATCTGACACCTTTGCAGATGCAGCGCCTGTAGATACCACCCACGGGGCAGGTCGCTGCTTCTGAGTCCTTGGCATTGTAAGCAGTAAAACACGTGTGTGTGTGTAAAGCGGTTTCATGTACCGGACGTTGCCCACTCGATCCTCCCATCCCAGACCAGGATTACAGAAGCTTAGATAGCAGCACTTCTGCTCGCTCGCAGTTGCTCTTTCCAGAATGTCTCACACGTGCCGGGTGGTGGAGTCTGACCTTAACCCTGAAAGCTTTGCAACACCGTCTCCAGAGCATGGTCCTCGTCCCCCATCCAGTTTCATCTGACCTTGTGCATACGTGGTTCCTTCCTTTCATATGTCTGCCGTAAAGACTTTTGCTTGCAAGAGGCCTAAAAAACTCCACACGGCGAGGCTACCGCCCCCTGAAAACTGATCAGAATACCATACTTCCTTTTAAAATGCTTTCCACTTTTATTTCAATGCAGGAAACAATCCAGTACCGGATGAGCCCGGGGAGAGCAGTCCTTCTGCAGGAACATTTGAGGACGATGTGGGGTAATGTCTTCATAGTGTTATCACCTGCCAGCTCTAGGCAACATGGCTCATACAATTATTCTCCATAAAATCCTAGAATGACACATTTCCTCCAAAGCAAATATGATCTTTGCTTATCCTTACTCACTAATGTTCCATGTAACTTCTTCACAGGAATGAAGTACAGAAGATGCTGGAAAGGCTTGGAGGTATGCTTAAGTGATATTTGCAGTCAAAACAATTGTTTAATCCATACAACTTTTATAAATGGGAATGTTAGTGAGTGGATTCCAAGACTGGTTTTAATGCCTTGTTCTAGTATAGAGCACTTTGTACCAGTATTTATAGTGTGATTCAACTTTGTAAGTTTCTTTACTGACCTTTTGAACTGTTGATGTGGAAAACTGAAAACGGTACTAACAGTCGTGAGGTAAGAATGATGCCATTATTTTATGCACGTGTACACTTAATGTACTGTGTAAGACTGTGTGAGAAAAGTTTATACTGCCTTTTCTGTGCACAGCTTAGGTGATGTATCAACGTGTATTGCCAATTTTAAATTTTCTTAATTTCGCTACCTTTCATAACTTTCCAGTGTGCTTCTCTTTGGAGTAGCAGCACAAATCGAATCCTCTAATATAACTCTTTATTTTTATTTTTCATTAACAAACTGTGTAGTTGCAAAGTAAATAACTCTGCTAGCTAGTGAGAAGTGTCTAATCATATCCACACTCCTAAATTTTATGTTGTTCTGTCAGATGTCACTTACACCATCTGCACTATAGGACAGTACACTTAGCAGAGTCTGAGTCAATATATGGCTCTCCATAGAGATCATCCTTACAAGCAAGTATCTTTTGAAGGCTTTGCTCTATTTGGTGGCGACAAAGTGCTTGCTTTGTGAGCTGTCTAATAAACTTCTTATTATAGATGGATTCTGGGTGTATAAAATATTTTTATTGTAGTGCAGATCCTTCATGACTACTGAAAAATAACTATGGACTGTAGATCCATAAAGTCAAATCATATGCTCTGCAAAGCGTTATTTGAAGTATTCAGATTCTGTGAAATGCAGCACTTATGGATGAAAGTGTTATATGAAAAGCTCCATGAAAATATTTTTTTAAATGTTTTTGAATTCATTTATTTAAACTAGAATTTTACACCCACGACCTTTGTCTCTGTTAGTAAAATGCAGTTAAAAGCATCACTCACTAGATTGCTTGAAAAATAATTTTTTAATGTGCGATATAATTATTTTTATCCTTTTTGAGGGTCATTTTTAAGAAAATACTTTCGTGCTTTTTATAAAATGCATTCTAATGGTAACCCATCTAAATGTATCCCTTGAGTTGGAGGACATTTACCCATGTAAACGTGTCCCTTGAGTTGGAGGATATTTTGTAAGTTTAGAAAAATGTGCCTGTTAGCAAATTTTCAGAAGGAAATTAAAGTCTGTCTTTGAGATTCTTTATACACATTTTGATAATGAAAAATATATTGATTATTAAGCCCTTTTCATTATCTCTAAACTAAAAGGTGACCTGCAGTTAGAAAAATTAGAATTGGGATACTAGCACTGGAAAGATTTTACAGAAAATAGTGAGCAAATCTTGCTTTTTGAAATGATGCCTGAATTATAAATTTTATTTTACTTACTTTGCTTTTTGAAGTGTAATTGACATACGACATTATATTAGTTCCAGGTATACAACATAGTGATTGGACATTTATGATGTCTGTATGATAAATTGTAAATGTACTTTGCACATCGCCAAGGCAACATTTACCCGTACTGATTTGAATATATGAAAACGAAATAACTTTCAACATTTAAATTTCAGTGAATATCTATTTTCCATACAGTTGACATTAAACAGGCTCTTCTCACAAAGAGAAAAATGTTCGAAATGGGTACAAAAGCTTCTATCAAAACCACTAACGAAACAATTGAGCATGTTTGGAAACTACAACAAGAACAAAGGTGAAGTTGTTGGAGTGTTTTTGTTTTTGTTTTTGTTTTTGAGTCACGATGACATTTGTATCATTTCTTTGTATTCATTGGCGCAAATAACCTAAGACAAATTCTATTATATTGAATTTTCCAGCGAAAAACATATTTTGCTTGTTTTTTTTCTAAGCAGATAAATTCCTTAGTTCTGTAACCTCACTCCTTAACAGATTCTGAGATGTATTTCCTAGAAGCCAATAGAGATGACCTTTCTTCCCTTTCAAATAACAATTGAGTTTTCTTCCTATAACATTAATTTATATTCATTCTAGACCTACACTAGCTGAACTTCAGGTAAATGTCTTAAACCATTATTCTTGTGATAGTTAACTGTATTCAGTTATGTAGAAAAGGTTAATCTTATATTGTAAATAATTTGCATATTTTAGGTAAATTGTGTTCACCGTTCTTTAAAAAAAAAAAAAAAAAAAAAAAACATTGTTCGGGGGATATATTTAAGTGAAATATTCCTGTTTGGAAATCTTCTATGATAAATGGATATAATATCCTCATTGAATGAATCTACTTATCATATCAGAACATATATGCTATTCAGTAAGAAGAAATGAAAAGTAAACTGCTTTTAGATAAAATGAATTTTTCTGGAAAACTGATAGTACAGTAAATCCTCATTAGCTTTTAAGAGGTAAGGCATGTGAGATAGCTTTTATGTTGGTCAGTTAGGAACAATACTTTTGGAATAAGAGTAAATTGTTCATGTCACCTTTCTGCTTCCCATGAGACTGCTATTTCAGCTGCTGTTATGCTATTACTGCCTTCTCCTTTTGTAGTGTAAATTGTGTCAAATCAATTTTGTTTTGAATATGGTTAATTCTTTCATGTCTTTATGAATTATGACAGTGCTCATTATTATGTTTTACAGGCAGAATCTTCATCTCAAATATTCTCAGCAGTTTCTGACTTTGTTTTGGGAGTGGAATGTAGGCATGCAGAAAGCCCAGAAACAACAAGAAAAACTAGCCGTTGGTATCAGCTTTGGCTTTAAAATTGATTTATTTATTGTATCAAAGTCTCAAGTAGCAATAGGTCATGCAAAAACATAGGAGAGAATGTAGGGACCATGAGCCCAGATGGGTAAAGGTGGGTAGAAGATGTAGCGGTGGGAGACTGAATGTCCTCTCTGAATTGCTTCTGTCTATTTAGGGATACAGGAAGGTCACCAGTTAAGAGTTAGAGTGGTGGAGGAGGTGTTGCCTCTCGGGAGCAGAGAAGAAGTCCTGGAATTGTTTCCTGAGAGCAGGCCAGTGAATGGACTAGGGAAATGCCATTGCCAAGCAGCATTGTGGGTCTAACTTAGGTTGGTGTCATAGTGACCATGAATTTAAAGTGAGACCACATTGCATGGTTGTGGCAGAGCAGCTGGAGAGTTGGATTTTCCAGGGTTGGGGTTTAGCCACGCAAATTGGCGGAGTGAAAAGGGGGTAAGGTACATGTGCGAGGGCATAGGTATAATGATTGACCATGGCATTTAGGCCAGGAAGGAGGAAAAGGAAGAATATGAGGGTGGGGATCAGGGGCAATGAAAAGTCATAGGATCCATGGGATGTTAATCCTGAAAGAGTGTTGGACTATAGTAAGAAAGGGAGAGAACTACAAACAGGGAGGTAGAGGTTGAATATTGGGGGAAAAAATGGAGAACCAGTATAGTACAGTGGTCCAGAGCCTGGACTCTGGAACCAGTTTTTGGGATCCAATCCTGGTTGACCGGTACTAGCTGTGAAATCAGCGGCAAATTGTTTATCCCTGTGCCTCACCCAGGTTCCTCACCTATTATGGAAGGAGACATAACAAAAGCATCTGCCTCGTAGAGTTGTTTTGAGGATTAAATGAGATCATATATAATGTTTATTTAAAATGGTTCAGAACAGTACCTGGCACACAGCTCCTATATAAGTTTTTGCTCTTATTAATATAATGTAGATGTTGCAGTTATTGGGAATGACAGAATCCAGGGTGTGACTATGTAAGTGAGTGACTGAAGTAGGGAAGAGGACAAAATTGTTGTTGGAGATCAGGTCAAGGAGCGGAAAGGCTGGGATCATCTGTGTACATACTGAAATGACCAAGAATTAATACATGTTTTGAACGTTGTTAAGAAAAGAATATCCCCTCTGTAACTACTGTTAGGAAGGATCAGTGTATAGATTTTTGACTACTTGTAGTAAACACATTCTTGGAAGGGTCATTTGTGGGTTTTGAAATCAAGAGTTAAAACCTGTTTTCCATATTGGCAAGAAAAAAAATTTCCTACTTAATGACTACTAGGTAGGATCATCGTATTGTTTTTGTGTATTAGTGGTGAACACAGTTATCTAAACTCGGTCATAAAGGTTGTTACAACAGGAAATGTTAACAAGTATTGATTTAAAGAATATTCCTTTTAAACATGATGTATAATTATGTTTCTCTAAATATTAAATGTCACCCACATTTTATCATCCTTTTCTTTTATATTTGTAGAGTATGTTTCAAGAGCAACGAAAGGTTCTTCAACAAGCTAGAGTTGTTCAGAATCAGAGACTGCAAAAAATTAAAAATTTATATGTGCAATTCTTAGAGGTATTTGGCAACATAATACATTCTTATAAAACATAACATGTGTACAAAAGTAGGAGATAGTTTGTTTCTTTCTGAATCTATGTGGGGGAAAAAAACCCAGTTAGGTTGTACATCTGAACCGTTAACCATTTTCCATTTGGAGTTCATTGCTCTGTATTTAACATAATTGGTAAATGTGTTTTGATTTTGGGGATTAATTAATACTTTTGTGGGAGTCATTTAAAACAGGGAACTGTAAGCTGGGGATTTTACCTAGAAATACATGTATCGTGTAGAAAAGTGGTACTTTATCAACACTTTAATCATAATTTTTTGTGCAACAATCAGTTCGGAGGAGATCAGCAATAAATATATAGTGGAAACTAAGAAGTCTATAAATCACTTCTACGTGCCTTTTACTTGTATTGACGGTTTCTGTTAAATATGAGTAGGCAGTGGTAATTGATGAATACTGCTTTTATTTCCAAATGCGTTACATGAGTGTTTTGTGGCATAGTTGCTTTTGGAATATTAATGACTAATAATGACTTTACATGCAAACTTAAAATCATAAGAGAAGGTCTAAATACAATATAACAGAATGAAAAAGCCAGAGGAGGACCAAACGTTTGTGAATTGAGAATGATCTGCTGTGATATTTGCACATTGACCAACTGTCCTCAGTGACACAGACCTCTTCTTCATGCAGATATATACTTATTTAGGAGGCAGTAGAATCCTGCACATTCCTCCTCTTTTTTCTTGGTGTGTGTTGGGCGGAGGGGAGGTGTCCTTTACCTCTGCAACGGTACCTTAGTATCTTTCTTCGAATTCCAACTGCTGCTCCCTAGTTCAGGATCTCATCATTCCTTGCTTATGCTACTAAACCCTTATCTGAGTTCTCTTCTCCAGTCCATCCCTCACCATTCTGCAATATGATCTTCCAAAGCATAGACCTTCCCTCCTGAGAACCTGTCGTTAGCTTCCCATTTTAGGCCCTCAGGTATTCAAAGTCTGTGCCCCGCTTCCCCCATAACAAGGCTCCCTTTGTAGTTTTATACTTAACGTTCGTTCTTTCCTCCCACCCCTCCAGATTGGTTGCTTTCTCTGAACTAACGCACCATTACTTCCTTGTTTCTAGAATACTTTCAATTGCCTCTTCCGTTTACCTACCGAAATCTTACTCTTTTGCCAACTAAATCAGAATCAATCTTATTTTCCACTACATAGTCACGGCAAGTTGTGTTACCTTAACTGTTATAAAGTTTTTGTGTTGTTTTTATTTACATGTTTTTTTTGTTGTTGTTCTCACTGGAATAAGGAAGGAAGAGATCGTGTATTCATTTTTAAATTCCTCCACAGCACTTTTTATGTAGGCTGCAGTAGATCACTATTTGTTGGGTGAATAGCAAAGATTTAGAACATGTTTGTTTTTCATAACTTAAAGAGGTCGTGTCACAGATCATTTTATTCCCTCCAGTGGAATCATGTTACATTGATTATGAGTCATTATAAATGCACTGTTACATGGTGTCTAGAAAGCTTATTAGAGAGTTTTAAAATGATGGCATCTCATTCAGTGGGACTGTCAGTCTTTTTCTTTTTTTCCCTCCACCTTGACCTTAACTGTTTATTAACCCATTGTTTTGAGCCTACTACTGTTGTGCCTCTATACTAATAATATTTGACTCAAACACAACATTTAAAAAATTTCTTAGGTGGGTATTTTGGTCTCCATGTAGTAGGTATAATATCTTACTTGGAATAAATAACGGGCATCCTTTGCATATTAAGAGATGTTAGTTTTGAAATTTGCTTTTACATGTTTAGTGCGTGAGATGAAAAGTGGTGGTTTATAACTAAACTAGGCTTTTTGTTTTAGAGTATGCAGGACTTAGAGAAGGACCATGAACATCTTCTTACTGATGAACAAAGTGAAGTTAGAGAAGAAATGACCAAGTTGCAAAACAAAATTATGATGGAAGTTGTAAGTACTTAGTGCATATTTAATATTAAGAACTAACGAGGGATGTGAGCATTGGGGTATTTTGTTTGCTGAAGTGTATATAACAATGACCTAAATAGCATGTAAATGTTTAATATTTCCTTCCTTGAAACAGCAACAGTAAGAGCTGGCAATTGTTCAAAAGTCTCTTCAATCCCTGTTATTCTGATGACTTTGAAGAAAGAACTTGAACCTAAGTGCTATGATAGAAGCATAACATTAGCTACACTGAACCACATTGCGGTAGTTTAAAAATTGTAGTTGAAATCAGTACATCTTGTTTACCATAGCTTGCTTGTTTAGTGCAAGAATCTTTTCCTGCTAAAACCCCAAGCCCCAAACAGTTACGTGGGTAGCAGCAATTCCACAATTATATGTATTAAGCTTTCAGCCCTTCGTTAGTAATGATGACTTTGTGTACTTAACACTGTTAATTAACTTTTAGCAACAGGATGATTTAATTTGAGGCTTGGCCTCCGTGGATCTGTATCAGTCCCAAAAGGTTCAGAGCACACGTACAGAAAGAAGGTTACTTTGCTTTTCCTAAAGGAAAAATAAAATTAAAGGGTATAAAATCTATCTTACCCGTGTGCCCGCTTGTATTTTACTCATTAGTTTACAGAGCCAATTCTAATAAAAAAAATATGATTTCAGAAAATCTACTCTACTGCCTTATAAAAATTATTAAAAGCAAACATAAGATTGTGGGGTTTTTTGGGAATAAATTAAGCTGCCTAAAATCATTGGGGGCACAGAACTAGATACATAAGTGTCAGTGCTGAGACATGGGTTTGTGAAAATGTCGTTTCCACAAAGACACCAAAATGTCATTTAATTGGTGTTGGTTCACTATTAAATGACACTTGCCCTTAGCATTGATTGAAAGTATTTCATTAATATGTACATATACCTAATGACTTATGGTTTAAGTATTTCACATCTCTCTTTAAAGATAAATTACCTATAGTGCCTTGTTTTCAAGTTTAATGTTCATTGAGTGTGTGGAAAGTTGATTTTATATTTGAGAACTAACAACTTGAATAATTAATTCTTATACCTTTCTTTTTGTAATGGGCATTTTCTTTTTACATTTAATAACATAACACCATCTTCGTTTGGGCATGTTATTTAATAAACATGACATTGTTTCAGAATGTATTTGGAATAAGTCAGTTAAATGTGTTTTTTTTTTTCTCAGTTCCTGAAGTTGCTTTCATGAATCATTCAAAATAAAGCATTTCCATTCGGAGGAGAGGATTTATTTTCTCCTGTCTTTCTGCATTTTTTTTTTAACCTAGGTAGCCTGGTGGCGCATAAGTCGGTTAGCGTCGACTTCAGCCAGGTCGCGATCGCCAGTCGTGGGTTCGAACCCGCGAGACTCTGGGCTGATGGCTCAACGACCTGGAAACCTGTTTCGATTCTGTGTCTCTCTCTCCTCTGCCCCTCCCCCGTTCATGCTCTGTCTCTCTCTGTCCCAAAAATAAATAAACGTTGAAAAAAAATTAAATATATGAAAATGTTACTTACTCATAGTAAGAAAAACATGTTCAGACCTTCCAATATCATAAAGTTTTTTGTTTTTTTTTTTCCTGAACTAGACAAGTTGGTTTTGCAGTCCATTTGGGGGGGGAAGATTAGTACAGATGGACAGGGAAATCTTAAAAAAAAAGAAAGTTTACCTATTTATTTTGAGAGGGGGTTCAGAGAGAGAAGGAGAGTGAGAATCCCAAGCAGGCTCCATGCCCAGCTCAGAGCCCAACTCGGGACTCGATCTCAGCACCGTGAGATCATGACCCAAGCCAAAATCAAGAGTCGGTCGCTCAACTGACTGAACCACTCAGGTGCCCTGACAGGAAAATCTTGAAAAGGAATAAATAGAAACAAGGGGAGCCATTCCTACAGAGATTATTCCTCATTTATCAGACTGGAAAAATAATTGTCAACATTGATCATTAGCTTTATAGCCTGCCAAGGCCTAGAAGCAATGATTCAGTTGCAGTGAGTAACTTAGAGTCTATTTTATGATCTTGAACACAAACAAGAGCTCCTTGGAGAAATAGCTGGTTCCAGATACGGGGTGGAATATAAATAATATAAGCCTGTAAAATCTTGGGAGGAAAAAATATATATATAAGCCTGGAACATCTTATAATATCCGAAAGTCAGGATGTGTGTTGAGGTTATGTCAAAAGGACACAGGAGGTGGGACACAGGGGTTCCTAATGGGCAAATGCAGAAATATGTGAGCATCAAAGGAATAATAAATGCAATGGTTTGAATCACAAATATATTGACACTCATGAGTTCATTATAATACTAAAAAAAAAAAAAATCCACAAATAACCCTTGCTCACTCTAAGTGATTGGCGCTAGTTCAGTCACCATCCCATCACTCTGAAAGGGATAGAACAAAGCATTAATTCTAGCTTTCTTATATGAACCATAATTTTAGGAAAATCAAATATTTACAAAGTTATGCCTTATGGTATAATTCCAGACAGTAAATGCAACCAAAAAACCCATGAAGAGTGTGTGTGTGTGTGTGTGTGTGTGTGTGTGCGTGCATGTGTGTGTGGAGGGGGGAATCACCATTTTGCAACACCTAATGAATTAATGGATCTAGGCAATAACCCTCACTGGCTGCTAAATCCATGATGTGGAGGTTGATATGTCTGATGAACATACACCATGATTTTCCTGGGACAAGTCCTGGTTTACATTGGTTGTTCTATCATCATTACTAATACTACACCTTACTTTACCCCCTCTACAAAATAGTCTCCATTTGGATGACATATGATCAACCTACTGATAGGGAACTTTGTAATGAACAAGGAGGGCTCAAAACACCTGGACCCGCTGGTCAATCTTAACATCACAATGAAAAAGAGACACAGAGACATTAAGTATCTCCTATTGGGCTGCAGATGCAATAGGAAGTACAAAGCACCATCTCTGACATATTTTTGCCATGGAGCCAAACCTGAATCTGATGATGAAGCCTCAAGTTCTGTCAGTTCAGGGTACATGCTAGTGACAGAAGAATATGTTGAGAAACACAGCAGGGGTGTGATCTGCCAGATCCAGGATTTCCAAAATTCAATGACACAATGACCTGGTCTCTTCCACAAAAAAAAAAAAAAAAAAAAAAGATAAGATAAAGGAAAAGCAAGAGATGATATGTATTAAAGGAAATTTATAAAACATATTAAAGAAATGCAGTCTGGACATCCTGTTTGAATTCTGATGTAAACGAGCCCATGGTAAAAGGACACTTATGAAATTAATTGGAGAAATATGTTGACTAGATATCAGATAACATTAATGAATTTCTTATTGTGTATATTGATTGTATTTTTATTTTGTAGTGTGGGTTATGAATAAAAACATACCTAGGATTTGCTTTAAAATAATTGAGTGGAGACAGGAGCAGTAGCAGAGTTGGAGAGCGTAATATATGTGAAACAGAATGAACTGTATTTTGATAATTGTTGAAACTGGGTGACGAACATGTGAAGATTGTTATACTGTTGTATCACTTAGGTGCATATTTGACACGTTCTAAAAACACTCCTAGGGGCGCCTGGGTAGGTCAGTTGGTTAAGCGTCTGACTTCAGCTCAGGTCACGATCTCACCGTTTGTGAGTGTGAGCTCCGTATTGGGCTCTGTGCTGACAGCTCAGAGCCTGGAGCCTGCTTCAGATTGTGTGTCTCCCTCTCTCTCTGCCCCTCCCCCACTCGCTCTCTCTCTCTCTCTCTCTCTCTCTCTCTCTCAAAAATAATAAACATTAAAAAAAATTTAAAAACACTCCCAATACCCTTATTCGATATACTCAAAACCTCAGAAAACCTCTCAGGCCTTCCCTGATCTTTTTGGCCATATGATGTACTGGGGACCATATGGGCTTTGGAGCCAGACAAACTTAGACTCAAATACTGGGTGATCTGGAACATACTACTCAACACCAACTTTGGTGATCCTCAGTGCCTGGTTTTGTAAGATAAGGATGACTTACTCCATCCCTGTTGCAGAATTTTTTATTTGAGTTTAGTTGATACACAATGTTATATTAGTTTCAGATACACAACACAATGATTCAACTTCTCAATATGTTATGCTATACTCACTAGAAGTGCAGCCACCATCTGTCACCATACAGTGCTATTACAATATCATTGCTATATTGCCTATGCTGTGCCTTTTATTCCTGTGACTTATTGGTTCCATAACTAGAAGTCTGTATCTCCCATTCCTCCTCATCCATTTTGTCCATCTCTTCACCCCTTCCCCTCTGGCAACCATTAGTTTGTTCTCTGTATTTATGTGTCTGATTATGCTTTTTTAAAATTGTTTATTCATTTGTTTTGTTTTTTAGATTCTACATATGAGCAAAATCATATGATTATTTGTCTTTCTCAGTCTCAGGTCACGTAGCATAATACCCTCCACATAGATCCATGTTGTTGCAAATGGCACAAACTCACCCTTTTTTATGGCTGTGTAATACTCTACTGTGTGTGTGTCTGTGTGTGTGTGTGTTCAAGCCCACGCATACATTCCACATCTTTCTTATCTATTTGTCTATCAATGGACACTTAGGTTCTTCCATATCTTGGCTATTGTAAATAATGTTTCAATGAACATAGGGGTGTACATATCTTTTCGAATTAGTGTTTTCATTGTCTTAAGGTAAATACACAGAAGTATAACTCCTGGATCATTCACTGGTTCTCCATGTAATTTTTTGAGGGACCTCTATACTGTTTTCCACAGTGGCTTCACCAGTTTGCATTCCCATCAACAGTACATGATGCCACTTGTCTCTTCACATCCTCACCAACAATTGTTACTTCTTGTATTTTTAATTTAATTTTTATTTTTTAAATGTTTATTTATTTTGCAAGAGAAAGTATGAGTGGAGGAGGGGCAGAAGAGAGGGAGAGAGAGAATCCCAAGCAGGCTCTGTGCTATCTGTGCAGAGCCTGACACAGGGCTTGATCTCATGAACCACGAGATCATGACCTGAGCTGAGCCAGACGTTTAACTGACTGAGCCACCCAGGAGCCCCATCTTGTATTTTTTATTTTAGCCATTCTGACAGGTGTAAGGTTGTATCTCATTGT